CTTTAAAAACAAGCAACATTCATGAAAAAAAAACGGGTGCAAACTTTCTTTCAAAGTGATCATTTAAAAAAATAAAAAGACCTCTTCCTTCCTTTTTTCAAAAACTCCAGACACTAAACATGTATTTTTTTTACTTGGCCTTACATTTAAATAGGGTAGGTGCAAGGGAAGCTTTGGATTAGGATTAAAAAGTGGTGAGGGCCAGAATAAATTAAATTCAAAAGCAATAAGATGTAGAGAAAAATTTAGCATAGGAAATGAGTATAGTAGTAGTTGTTCTAAGGATAAGCTTAATTGTTATTATCATAATGCTGGAAGTATAAGAAATAAAAGTGATTACTTTAGGGCATTAGTAGGAATGGAGGATTTTGATATAATGGGAATAACTAAAACATGGTTAAATGTAGATTATTTTGATGACAGAAATTTCTTTGAAATACAGGGTTATAGGTTATTTAATAAGGATAAAGTACTAAAGAGAAGGGTAGCTCTACATGTAAAATGAGTTATATTATCTTGAAGTTGAGAATATCAAAGATAATAGGAAGGTGATTGAATCCATTTGGGTTTCTATTAGGGGAATAAATTGGAAAGGCTTTTAGTGGGAATTTGTTACAACTACCAAATGAATACTAATGAAATTAGTGAGATTAAGATTTCAGCTGTTAATAAGGTCATAATTATACTTTATAGATGATTTTAATTTTAGGTATATAGATTGGGAAATGCTAGAGTCAAACCATGAGGGAAAAAGGTTTTTGGAAACTGTTCAAGATGATTTTCTTCACCAGTTGGTCAAAGAACCTACTATAAACAAAGCAATTTTAGATTTATTGTTAACTTCTAATATAGAAATGGTTAAGAAAGTAGAAATGTGGGTGCAAGTGATCATTGGTCTATTAGATTTCATGTTTTGCTGCATATGGAGATCAGGAAAAATATTTTGGTTACAAATTTAAAAAACAAATTTTAAAGTGATGCAACAAGAATAATTATCTGTTGTGAATTGGGCAGCTGAGTTATCTGGAAACACCAATCAAATGTGGAAAATTTTTATTTATTCAAGATAAACATATTCCTTATTGAAAGAAAAGGGTGATTGCAAGTAAAAGAACCAGGTTGGCTCACAAAACATATAAAATATAACACTGAAGAAAAGCATCACAAATTTAAGAAATTTAAATTGACTGGTATGATGGGAGATTTGTAAGATTATAGAAGATCAAAAAGCTGGTCAAACAAAAAGTTAGGACTTCAAAAAGGATGTATGAAAAAAGTGAGCAGAAAATGTAAAAATTAACAGTAAGGATTTATTTAAATACGTTATGTGTAAACAAAATGTTAGGATGGGGTAGGACCCTGGAGGGATGATAAAGGAAGGCTTGTATCTAATGGTTATGAGATGGCTGGGTTATTAAATTCTGTCTTTTCTTCTATTTTTACTAATGAAGATTTAAGTAGTATTCCTCATCTTGAACAGCTGATAGATGGAAACAAGGTCATACACAATGACTGAATTAATACTGTTTGGCAAGAAAAAATTGGGAAATTTAAAGAATATGTCTCCTGAGCCAGATAATATTTCCCCAAGGGCTTTAAAGGAGGTTAAGGATTGGATATGTGAGCCACTTGCTATTATTTTTGGTAAGTTCTTGAATAGAGGGCAAGTGCCAAAGAATTGGAAGTCAGCTAATGTCACTCTTTTCAAGGGAGGTAATAAAAATTGTCTCAGTAACTATAGGCCTATTAGTCTTACATAAGTTGTACTAATAAAAAATGCTTTGAAAAGTCATTTAACAAAGTTTAGAATTTTATTGGATAGTCAACATGGTTTCTCTAAGGTAAAATCTTGCTTTAAAAATCTGTTGACATTGATGATGGTAAGAGTGTAAATTTTGTGTATCTGGATTTTCAGAAAGCATTTCACAAGATGTCACTTATAAGGCTTATAAAAATTATATCTATAGGTATGGTGGATAACTTAGCTAATTCGATAGAAGAGTGACTGGAAGGAAGAAAGCAGAGGGTTGTTATAAATGGAGTTCAGTCAAACTGGATTAATATCACAAGTGGGATACCTCAGGGCTCAGTCTTGGGACCTTTGCTCTTTTTGATTTATATCAATGACATTGAAGAAGGAATGGTCAATGCATTACTTAAATGTTCTGATGATATTTAGGTCTTGGGTGTTGCTAGCTGCAAAAAGAGAATGTTGCTGCTTTACAAAAGGATTTAGATCATTTAGTGAGTTGGGCAAATAAATGGCAGATGGGTTTTAATTATAATAAATGCAAGATAATTCATGTGTGTTATCAGAATTTGAATTATAAGTACAATTTGGATGAAAATAATCTTAACAGTATCATGAAAGGAAAGGATCTTTGTAATTGTTGATCAGTCTCTGAGATTGTATCTACAGAAATTTAATAAAAGTCTGAAAAGGTTATAATTTCATTGTATAGGCCACACTTTAAGTACTGTTAACACTGAATTGTTGGAAAGGGTTCAGAGGAAGGCTACTAGAATAGTGCCTGGGATGGAGAGGTTAAGATCTCAGAAATTATTTTTTCTTAAAAAAGAAAAAGAAGGGATCTGATTGAACTTCAAGTGTTTAAGATTGCAAAGATAATTGATAGTGTTGATGCATCATATTTTTTTCATACTTAATGGCAAGAATAGTAGAACTAGGGGGACAGAAATATAAATTCTGACAAGATAGGAGTCATCTTTAGCCAAGACAGTTTTATTTTTCTAACTGGGTGGTTGCCCTCTGGAATGGGTTGCTTTTGGATGTAGTGGAAGCAATAAATTTAAATGAGTTTAAGAGAAAGCTTGATAACTAAATGAATGATAAGGGCTGGCTTTAAGATTTTTTTTTAATTTATTTATTTAATAGTTATAATGTAGTTTAGAGGATGGGACAGCTGAGGTGGACCAATAGGTCCCTTGTTGTCCCTAAACGTTATGATATAAATAGTGTTTTAAACACTGCTATGTGTGTTGTATCCCAGCCAGCCTGAAGAGCTCTGAACTGAGTGAAACATGTCATGGGCAGTGGACATGATAAATATAGTGTGGTTAGTATACAAATATATAGTCTTCTAATTCTTAAAAATCATTAAGTGACTACATTAAGAATGTAGTGTTTAAAAATGCATTAGGCCTAATACTAATGTATTTTTACATGTATTATTGTAATCATTATTTGATAACCTTTAGTGGTCATTTGACCAATATATTAACCTCAAACTACACCAGTCTTCAGACTTTTATTTTGTCACTATGTAGCTTTATGTATTTGTTAATAGTGAATTGGGCATGACTGTATTGTTAATTTACTATAATTATAAAATTAAGTAAATAAATAATTGAAATAACTTGGTCAATAAAATTATATTAAACAAATAATTCTACCTTTGTAGACTGGATAATACAGAATAAAATATAATACATAAAAAAATAAATTTTTATTGTTATAGGACAGTACAATTATTCAAATTTTTTGTTATGTGTAATCTTATATTTTTATGAAAACCAAGTCTTTTTTTTTAGTTTTTAGCATCCTGAAGATAATTTTATTTTGTTATATGTAATACAAAAGTAGACAGTGGACAAAGTATAATATTTATTTTCCACACACATACATTCATCTTTCAAATTCAAATAAAATACTTAACCATGATTAACCTTTAGAAATAATTTAAATGATACTTTGGCAATGTGGGTCCTCAAGTTCACCACTGAGTTTACTAACCATCTAACCGTAGGGTCTGTTTTATCAACCGACACAGAACACCCTTTCTACTGATACTAATTCTCCAAAAGCTTTGAAAATTTAAAACAAAACAACGAAAACTTATTTGTTTTGGTCACAAATCTGGATGATAATTAAGTACATTTAACGGATTTCCATAAAATTTAGGTGGATAAGGCGCTCGACTCGCAATCTGAGGGTCACGGGTTCGAATCC